TGCTATCAACTTTTCTGTAGGTTTTTAAATTAAATTAACTAGACAGATAGAAAATGCAAATATCACTACACACATAATTAGAATGACTAAAGTTTAAAAAAACGGACCAGCAGATGGCATAATGGTTACGTCTCTGGACTCCCAGGTTGTTGACTGTGGTTCAAGTTCCAGACAGGGCACCTTAAAACTCATACCAGGCACATGTGCTTTCACGCCCATGATACTGAGAGAATGGAAGAAAAAGGATTGTGGTGTGGCCGTCCCTCCTAGGGGGGTGATTTTTTGCTTTCTGTCTCTGTCTCCAGCAAGCACATGTGCCCTATAGCAAAAATCTCTAAAAATAAAAATAAAAAGTTTTAAAAAAGAAAAAAAAAAAAAAACTGGCAATATCAAGAACTGTTGCCAATGTGGAGAAAGTGGAATTCTCATACATTGCTGGAGGAAGTGCAAAATGGTACAGCAACTTTGGCAAACAGTTAGCACTTTCTTATAAAGTTAAAAACTGTACTTACTGGGACCAGCAGTTAGCATAATGGCTATGCCACTGGACTCCCACATAGTCAACCATGGTTCGTGTCCTGGACCCAGTAGCTTAAACTCACGCTGGGCACGTATGCGTGCATGCCCAAGATCCTGAGAGGAGAACGGAGGAGAAGGGATTGTGGCGTGGCCATCCCCCCTGGGGGGTGATTTCTCGCTTTCTATCTCTCTGTCTCTCTCTGTCTGGTGAGTGCACGTGCCCTATAGCAAAAACCTCTAAAAAAAAAACAAACTATACTTACCATATCACCCCAAATTCTCACTTCTAGCTATTTATCAAAAAAACGTGGAATTTTCATGTTCAACTAAAAACTTATACATGAATATTTATAGTATTTTTTTTCATAATCACTAAATTTGGAGATAATGTGAATCTTTGGAAACTGGAAAGAAATGAATAAATACACTGTGGTACATCCATTCAATGAACTACTCCTAGGCAACAAAAAGAGGCAAACTACTGAAACTCATAACATAGATGAAAATCCAATGGATTAAGAAAGAAGCTAGACTGAAAGTCTACATACAATATAATTCCACTTATGTGATAGTAAATAGATAAAATTATAAAGACAGAAAACAGACCAGTGGTTGGGCTGGAGTAGCATAACACTGTCTTTAAAGGGAAATGAAAGAATTTTCTGGAATAGTGGAACTGTTCTATATGGTAGTGATTACATGACTGTGCGTGCTCAGGACTATTGCTAACAGAAGCAGACTTACTGTCTTTTAGCTATATCATAATATGAAAACTGTATACGTGAATGAAATGTTATTTTAAAAA